TTATAACTACACAGGCTTTCTGCAGGATGTAATTCTTGGGATTCATGCTTTTCTTGTTTTCTTTTCTATACAGACATTATGGCAGCAGTTGCTTTTCACAGAATCACAGAGAGGTTGAAAGGAACTTCAGGAGATTGTCTAGTCCAAACTCTTTCTGCTCATGCAGAGTCACCTAGGGCATGTTGTACAGTACTGCGTCCAGATAACTTCTGAATATCTCCAAAGAAAAGGCTCCACTGCCTCTCTAGGCAACCTGTTCCAGTGCTCTGTCACTCTGACAATAAACAAGTTTTTCCTCAGATTCAGAAAGAACCCCTTATGTTTCTGTTTGTGCCTGCTGCCTCTTGCCCTGTCACTGGACACCACAGGGAAGTGTCTGGTCCCATCCTCTTGACACCCTCTCTTTAAATAGTTATACACAATGATAAAATCCCCACTACATTTTCTCCAGGCTGAAGAGGCTCAGCTCTCTCAGCCACTCCTCATAGAAGAGATGCTCCAGATCTCCATTGCCCTGTATCTCCATTCAGTTGAGGTTGCTCAGAATAGCACCACAGTCCTCTATGCGGGGGAATCAACAACACCTAACAGTTTTCTATCATAAAGCAAACTTTTTAAGGCTACATTCTGTCCCTTTATATAGGTAATTGATGAATAAGCTGAACATGGTGCAGTATAACCCCTGGAGGACATTGCCAGCAGGGGACATGCTGMACAGCATGTCCCTTGCCAGCAGGAGACATGACCTCTAGTGGTCCCTTCCAACCTTAAGCATTCTATGATTCTACGATTCTATGACATAGGGATGCCTTGGTTTCTCACCTTCATGCCCAGCAGTACAGGAATGTGGCRTGGGGATCCACATTTCTCTGTTCATTCTCTGTACCGAGTATAGAGAGAGGACCCAATTCAGAGCCCCCATAAGGGGCCTTTGCCAGCCACCCTCTTGTCAAGGAAGTCACTGTTGCCGTGCAGCCTTGTTGGCATCACTGCCAGCTTGGCTGCCATGGCCACCAATGCATTTCCTTTGCAGACCCTGGCACCTGCTCCTCTGCTCCTCGTGTGCTGCCAGGGGCACCCACCAACGCTGCTCCGGCTTGAGGCCCAACGCAGCCACGTGGGAATGTGATGACTGTGCGGGCCTGGGTACTGGTAAGAGGAGCAAGAGGGCCCCTCTGCCCCACAGTTTCGCCTGTGCCAAGCCATGGGCTGTTGGGACATTCAGGGTGGTCCTGGCAGAGTCACTCGATTCACCTGAGGGCACCGGTGGGGCCTCTCCAGCCCTGAAGTGCTGGGGCCGTGCACCTCACCTCCCTGCCTCTGCTTACAGCCTCCAGTGCACAGCTGGACACAGCTGGAYCCAGCAGCCGCAGCGGCAGCCAGGCCACATCGTCACCCAGCTCCACAGCTCCYRAGAGCCGGCGCCAGGGAGGACAGAGTGGGCCGGAGCGAAGGCCAGGCCGCTCGCGCTTACAGCGCCGCTCACAACATCCTTATAGGCGTTGCTGAAGAACCAGCCATGACCTTCAATAAAGAACCTTGTATTCCAGTCTTGTTGAAAGAGCTATTGGCGTCTTAAAGTTGTCAGTGAGACAAGGAGGTTCAATGTTGTCCTAGTGTTAAGGTTACCACAGAGCTGTGCTGTACACACTGCTTATCCGGAGGAATAAAAGTCCCAAGTTGCCACAGTGACCCCACAAACTGCAGCTAGTTTCTGCATTGAGAAGTGATTTCACAGGTTTGGAAGATCTCTGGAGAAGGAGACTCGACAACCTCTCTGGGCAGCCTGTTCCAGGATTCTGTCACTCGCATAGGAAGTTCTTCCTCATATGGCAGTTTTACTTCCTGTTTTTTAATTTATACCCATTACCCTTTATCTTCTTACAGGCCATGACCAAGAACCATCCTCCGATGTATCCATTAAAATCGGCTCAGTCTCCTGCAACGCATCTACACGCAAGTACTTGCAGCCATCCCTCCCCCTACCTACCACTTGTCCACATTCTCTGGTCTCCTGCCCTCAGTATAAGCACACCATGGCCCCTCCAATAAAGTGCCATGGCCTGTGCCCTCACCAGCCCTCTCAACGGCTCCCTCTGCCTTCACCACATGGCCATGGTGCCCACTCAGTTGTGGGGGAGTCCACGTTGCTGCCTGCCGAGGCTGCCAGCCAGAGCTGGGCCTCTTCAACCTGGGGAAGRGAAGGCTGTAGGAGATGCCAGGATATTAAGGCCTTTTGCACGAGTTAAGGTCTTTTGCATCATTGAGGCCTTTTGCAAGGAGCTAGAAGCCTCGAGCTCTGTCCGGCACAGGAGGAAAGGGCATTTGCTTTGGGGAATGGAGTTCAGCTGATGCCTACACAGCTGGGATTGCTAAGGCTGAGGGGAGCAAACCTGCAGGCAATGGTGCACACACGGTCCCCACGTCTTGCACATCGATCTCGCTTTTCCTCAGGACAGAATCTTCTTGAACAGCAGGACAAGACAGGAAGGTACCTGTGTACATCTTTTGCATAGGGTTCCTCACAAAGAGCTCCTAGCAATGCAGGATTGTTGCTGCTATGGACAATCCCCTGAATCAGTGCGGCCTTTGCCAGTGTTGTGGCCCTCCATTWGTTAGGGGCCCTATCCCTGTGCCAGGAAAAGAGAATGAGAGGGTGTGAGGGCATTGAGAGAGTGCGATGGAGCCAGCTGCACTTTGTGCTGTGMGGGAGGAGACAGTTGCCCCTTAGCTCTGTGGTGGGAGGAATCATGCCGGGCAGGATTGGGTTTGCAGGCGCTGGTTTCCCTGCCTTTGTGTTGCCAGGAAAAGCTGGCATTTGATTTGAGGGAGCCTTTTGAGATGCACTTGTGTTAATGCCAAGGGGCTCTGAAGCCATGAGCTCTATTGGAGTCCATAACCCCCAGAAAGAAGAGAGAGAGGTAGTGCTGTTAGTGCTGGGCTGCGTGAGTGGCGTGCTGGGTGGTGGCTGTATCTGGAAGACAAGGCAGGGGCCAGAGAGCCACCRGCTTGGAAATGTCCCCCAGAGCTGCAGCATTAAGGGCTAAGAGAAGTTCCTCCAGGCTCTTTCTCACTGCTCAGGATTGATCCCTGGAAGATGAATTCTCCATGAGKCCTGCAAGGCGATTTGTGCTATCTGACTCCTCCATGCCAGGYCCATTGAAGGGTTTGCAGAGCCCAAGTTGGAACATGAGGCTGTCCAGGGAGTTCAGAAGCATTTTAGGCTGCCTGCGGCATCAAGCCTAGGCAGCTGTGGATGGCCAGCAGCTCCTGTGTGGCTCCAGCCTAGGCAAACCATCCTCTTCCAGCCTTACAGCTTGGCACCTGGCCCTCTGCTGCAGCCAGCATGCCTTGGAGCCACTTTCTTGCCTTCCCACAAGCCATGAGCTCGGCCTTACCATCTCTAGGCACACAGGCAAGTTTCCTCTCGGTGCATCCACAGAACTGGGAGTGTAGCAAGGGCAATGAGCTGTTGAGGCAACATCTTGTGCTGCCCTCTGTCACCTGAACGGAGCAAAGCTCAGACAGAGCAGGACTTCAAAGCACCCTAGACAGAGAAAGCCTGCACCCGACTGTGGCCTCATCACTGCCCAGCRCTTCGTGTCGTTTTTTGCACTCCTACCAGAGGCTCAGGCTTGTGYTTCACGTTTCCAGGTTCACTAGATACCGTGAAAAGAACAGAGGAGATCATGGGCACTGCATTTTTTATTTAAATGGAAATCCTTAAGTTAAAAATAAGTACACAGGCTTTGTTCTTCAGACACATGAAAATAGAGGAAGCATTTCCCATGTGCAGGCTAAAACCACTCCACTGCACTGGCACAGCCATGCTTCTCTGATCGCTCTCCATGCCGAGTGTAGAGAGAGCCCCCAATCCAGTCCTGAGTCTTCCTATAACTGCAGTGTGTAGAGCGCACACAGGGAACACATACATTTTTCTCCCCAAGTGCAGGAACTGGAGCAGAGTTGTRAGGCCCTGAAGAAGGCTGCAGCCCTGCACACAACGTCAGGGTTTGTCTTGTGGCACGGTGGTGCTGGGAACACTGGGTTCCATAGGGTCCCAGGTGAAGGGGTGGCGAAGGCAGCCAGGTAGCCAGGTTCCGTGGAACATGAAGGCCATACACTTGGACTTTGCTATGAAGGCCAGACTGAGTTTACTCCAGGTTTTCAGTAGCTGAATGGTTTCAGCACTTCCTTCCTACCTCAGAAGCTGATGAAGGTGTCATGTGSAGACTGTCTTTAAGAGATCATGGCAAATGCAACATTTCCTCAGGCCACTTCTTCTGTGGAATATTTTGACTTCAGGCCAAAGCCCCGCCAAGATATTTGTTTAGCAGTAGGTAGACAAATAGTCTAGCTATCAAATGTCTAYATTGGGTTGATTTGTCAGTAGTAGCTGGGACACAGGGGTGGTCCCTGGCACCATGCTCGTGGTGCCATGACTCAGTGGGGGTCTGTTACACCTTGCTAGCAGTAGTGTGTCGTGGGGATGCTGTGTCACAGTGGCCGGGGATGATGCGGGCGGCCCAGGGCTATAAAAAGGATTGCAGGATGGCACCTCTGAGCACAGGAAAGGTGAGGACAGCAGAGGGCAGGGGAGGAGCTGGCCATGGACACAGTTTCTGCACTGCTGAGCTCAARGGCTCTTCCTGCTGCCCCGTTGCCTGCTCTGCTCCAGCCCCTCGACAGACCTGTTGAGGCGYAGGCTGGGCCAGAGGCGCAGGAGCCGTTGGGGAGGGGGGAAGAAGGGACTTGTGTGGCACCATCCCAGCAGCGGCCGGGCTCCTGCCTCTGGGTGCTGGGCTTGGTGTGGAAAGTCACTCTGGCCCCACTGCTCCCCAGGGTCGTCGTGGAAGTGTCCACAGCGAAGACTCCAGTGTGTGCGCTGCAGGGCTTTCCTGAAGCACTTACCCTCAAGCTGTGTGTGGTGCCGGAGTCCCCGGCTCCTCTGCAGCAGGGCTTGTCTGCAGCGCTCGCCACTGTCCTGTGCAGAGTGCGCCATGAAGCGCAAGGCCCCCGACTCGCGGGAGGAGGGTGAGAGCAGAGGGCAGCTCGAGCTCCCTGCAGCGCCCGCTGTGCACGGGTGCTGCAGGGTGGCCTGTGGGCRGCTGTGAACGCTGCGAGGGAGGCAGGGAGRGAGGCAGCAGCTGTGCAGGGCGCTGGGGCATGGCCCGTCCTCTGCTGCTGCGCACGCAGGGCTGTGTGGGGCTGTGTGGGGAGGAAAGGCTGCCACAAGCCAGGGCTGCCTGGCAGCCATGGGGCTCAGGGAAGGTGCAAGAGGGGCTGGCAGAGGGGGCGGGAACACGAGGGCAGGTGGTGTGTGGAAATCGCGGAGGCTGCAGAAGGAAGGGGCTTYCTTTGGGTCTGTCGCACAGGCCCCAGTGTGGGGCTGCCAGCGGCCCTGCTTTGGGCCACAGAGGGAGAGCAGGCGCTGGTGCAGAAAGGTCTCCAGGAGACTTTGCCAGGCCCCAGTGGGTGCTCAGTGTCTGTGGCCTTTGCTGTTCCCCTGCAGCCTGTGTGCTGTGTCGCCGGACTGAATTTAACGAGGACATCTATGGTGAGAAGAATCAGAAGGATGGRCTCTGTGCTCACGAGAACTGCCTGGTGAGTGTCCCTGGGCTGCCTCCAGCTCTGCCCAGGTGCCCATGTCCCAGTGGACCTGACTTTGTGACAAATGCCCTGCCAGGAGCTCTGTAGGCATCAGCCCCCTCTCRAGACCTGCTGTCCCTCCTGGAGCCCAGTTGCTGCGCCCCATTTGGGCTCTCCTCGGGCCCCCAGCCTGGCGTGTGCTCAGCTGAGCAAGCCCTGCGCGCCAGCGCTGCCTGCAGCCCTAACCCGCAGCCCCTCAGCCTGGCGCTCTGCACCTCTGCCCTGCCAGCGCACAGCACAACGTGGCCACCACCTCGCCAGGCCTCTGTGCTGCTTCATGTGGAGCCTCCGGAGGGCTCAGGAGTTGGCTCAGTGCTAGCGAGGGCAGCGTGGCCTGGCCCAGCCCTCTCACTGGTGTCCCCCAGCAATGGGCCCTGCCTAAAGGAGCGCGGGGTCCTTGCTGTTTTTCAGAATCTTGCCAGTGGGCTCCCTGTGAGGAGCACCGATGCCACAGGAGCGGCTGTGTTCCACCTTGCGGATGTCCGGCATGTGGTGAAACGGGCCACTCGGAAGGTGAAGAGCTAGCAGGAGCATGGGGAGGGCTGTGTCGCGCTGCCTTTGGGAGGGCTCACACTGTGCCCTGGGAAGGAAATGTGGGGCTTCTGCGTGAGCTCCAGGCAAGCCTTGCCCAAGTGCCTGCAGAGGCTGCAGCAGAAGCAGCACCCTCAGCCCCCAAGGTGGTTGTGCAGCGTGTGAGGCAGGCAGCAGTGCCCGGGGGGATGGGAGACGTCCCACGGGTGTGGGGCAACCTTGCCATGTGTGTGATGGGGGCTACTGTGCTTGTTGCAGAGGTGCTACGTCTGTGGTGAGCGGGGGGCCACGGTGACGTGTGGGCACAAGGGCTGCAAGCGCAGCTTCCATTTCCCCTGCGGCCGTGAAGATGGCTGTATCTCCCAGTTCATTGGGCTGTACCGGTAAGAGCGAAGGAGCATCCTGTTGGGCAGCTGCCTCCTTCACCCTGGGGCTAGCACTGGCCAAGCATGCGAGGCAGCTGCTTGCTTTGGCCTGCACGGATTATGCCCAAGCCCCGACCCTCGCAGGCAGCTCTGCTTYGTGTCCCTTTGCCTCTGTTGTGGGTGCTGGAGCAAAGTGGGAGGGCTGTMTCCATGTAGGACCCTGACAGCCTCTTGTTCTCAGCCCCTGAGGCTTGCCAGTGCCTTCCCATCTCAGGTCTGGGAAGTCACTGTTTGCCATCCAGCTCTGTGCAGGCAAGAGCCCCATCCTTTCCACACACCAAGACATGGCCTTTCTCACAGCAACAGACACTGCTTGGGCCTCAGCCAGAAGCTGATGCCGCAGCCCATGGTGGGTGGGAGATGGTGTGGGAAGGCAGGGAATGAGAGGAGAGAGCTGCGCTYGCTGCCGTCAGAGCAGCCAGCCTCTGCTCACCTTCTGGTCACCTTGTACGTGAACGTGATAGGACTGGATAATATGCTGAGCTTGTGGCCCTCCTGCAAACTCTTCCGTCCAGGTCCTTCTGCCGGGAACATCGCCCAGAGCAGACAGTGCAGGCACAGCAGGATGGGGACATCTGCTGTCTCCTGTGTTTGGAGCCTGTGGAGGAAAAGCTGTCCTTCACAACAATGGTGTGCCCCGCGTGCATGCACGCATGGTTCCATCGGGACTGCATCCAGGTAGGAGACCCTTCCCACAGGCGCCCAGCAAGGAGCAGTGTCCCGCTCACACTGTCTGTGGCCCGCTCACACTGTCTGTGGCTCTCTTGCAGCAACAGGCTCTGCGTGCTGGGATCTTCTGCTTCCAGTGCCCTCTGTGCAAGGACAGTGAAAGATTCCTGCCAGAGATGTATAACATGGGGATCCGAGTCCCTGTCAGGTTGGTTGGGCACTGCTCTTGCGCTATGCCCTCATGAGGGGAGCAGGACACTGTAGTCCTGGTGGAGCAGGGGAGGCCCCAAGGTCTGGAGGTGAGGTGGCAGCTTTCCAGCCTTGGAGCAGGGCAGGCTCAAGAGCTTCCTTTGCTCATCCTGCAGAGATGCCGCCTGGGAGGCAGACGGGGCTTTTGAAGACTTGTACCTGCGGCACAACCGGTGTGATGCTGACCGGTGCCTGTGTGCAGGGGGCAGGGAACGGGCAGAGGAAGCTGGGTAAGTGACTGCAGCAGCAATGCCCCTTCTGCCCACGTGGTGAAAGGTGTCTCAGCCCTGTGCCAGGTGGATGCCTGAAGGTCCTTGTGTGGCCAGGTCTCAGTGCTGCCTGTGGAGGAGAGCAGAGAAAGGAGGGAGAAAGAGGAAGCCCTTTCTATGGCACTGGGGAGTGGCCAGGGCAGGAGGGCTGGCCCTGCTGGCCTGCAAGACTTTCTGCAGGCAGTGAAGGGTCTGCCTGGTGCTGTGCTCAGGCTCTTCTGCTGCCTGTGGGTTGCAGGATCAAGGAGTCTTGGCACAGACTTCTGGGGTCTGCTAGGAGGGCTCTGCCAGGCACCCTCTTGCTCAAAGAAGTCACTGTTGCCGTGCAGCCTTGTTGGCATCACTGCCAGCTTGGCTGCCATGGCCACCAATGCATTTCCTTTGCAGACCATGGCACTTGCTCCTCTGCTCCTCGTGTGCTGCCAGGGGCACCCACCGACGCTGCTCCGGCTTGAGGSCCAACRCAGCCACGTGGGAATGTGATGACTGTGCAGGCCTGGGTACTGGTAAGAGGAGCAAGAGGGCCCCTCTGCCCCACAGCTTCGCCTGTGCCAAGCCATGGGCTGTTGGGACATTCAGGGTGGTCCTGGCAGAGTCACTCAATTCGCATGAGGGCACCGGTGGGGCCTCTCCAGCCCTGAAGTGCTGGGGCCATGCGCCTCACCTCCCTGCCTCTGCTTACAGCCTCCAGTGCACAGCTGGACACAGCTGGATCCAGCAGTGGCAGCCAGGCCACATCGTCACCCAGCTCCACAGCTCCTGAGAGCCGGCGCCAGGGAGGACAGAGTGGGCCGGAGCGAAGGCCAGGCCGCTCGCGCTTACAGCGCCGCTCACAACATCCTTATAGGCGKYGCTGAAGAACCAGCCATGACCTTCAATAAAGAACCTTGTATTCCAGTCTTGTTGTGAGAGCTATTGGTGTCTTAAAGTTGTCAGTAAGATGGGATGGGGAGATTCAATGTTGTCCTAGTGTTAAGGTTACCACAGAGCCGTGCTGTACACGCTGCTTATCCAGACAAATACAAGTCCCAGGTTGCCACAGTGACCCTGGCTAACTGCAGGTAGTTTCTGCATTGAGGAGTGATTTCACAGCAACACAGAACTGCTGAGGTAAGAGACCTCTAGAGATCACGTACACCAAGCCCACCGCTCAGGCACAGACATCTACAGCACATGGCTCAGAGTCGTATACAGGCAGGTTTTGAAGACCTCCAGTGAAGGAGACTCCACAGCTTCCCTGTGGGAAGGCTGCAGGATTCAGCCTTGCAGGATGGCACCTCTGAGCACAGGGCAGATGAGGACAGTGGAGGGCAGGGGAGAAGACGGCCATGGAGACCCCTCTCCTCAGCCCTGGTAAGGCCACATCTGGAGCACTGTGTTCAGTTCTGGGCTCCCCAGTACAAGAGGGATGTGGAGTTGCAGGAGGGAGTCCAGCACAGGGCTGTGAGGATAATCAGAGGCCTGGAACATCTGCCCTATGAGGAAAGAGAGGGAGTGAGGAGAATGGGGCTGGCCTCTTTTCAGTGGTAGCCATCGATAAGACTAGAGGAAATGGTCACAAACTAAAGCATCAAAAGTTCTGCAGGAGCTTAAGGAAAAAGTGTTTAACAATCAGGTTGACAGAGCACTGGAACAGGCTACCAAGAGGGTTTGTGGAGTCTCCTCCTCTGGAGATCTTTAAAACCCGCTTGGACACAATCCTGTGCCACATGCTCTAGGTGACCCTGCGTGTGCAGAGGGATATGTCTAGATGATCTCTAAAGGTCCTTTCCAACCTTAAGGATTCTCTGCTGTTATGATATTATTTTCATAGGAATAAGTGAATCAGAATTACGAAAATCTAACATACTTTTGCTTCCATTAGTTCATTGCCTTTAGTTAGTATGTTATTTGGTTTGATTTCTGGGGCATTCATACATGTTGGATAAAAAAAAAATCCATAGATTCCTCATATTTGATTTAATTCAATTAAATATGCTCTTGATGGCATTAATTTGAATATAGTCCCTGTGCTTAATTATTTGAATTATGATCTACAGACTTTGTTCAAAGTGAATAAGCTGTATTAGGGAAGGTATTATTTTGTAAGCCCATGGTCACATTTACATAGAAATTCATAGCAAGTAGCATAGGTTTGGTATTCAKCTCAGGAAACATGGATTAGATGAGTGGACAATGAGGTAGACTGAAGACTGTCTGGATGGCAGAGCCTAGAGGGTTGTGATAAATGTGGCCATGTCTAGTTRGAGGCCTGTGGCCAGTGGTGTCCCCTAGAGGTCACAGCAAGTTTGCAGATGATACAAAACTGGGTGGAGTGGCMGACACTCCAGAGGCCTGTGCTGCCATTCCGAGGGACCTGGGGAGAAATAACCCCAGGCACCAGGACAGATTAGAGGTTGACCTGATTAGGGGTTGATCTGATGGAAAACAGTCGCACAGAGATGGATCTCGGAGTCCTGGTTGACAAGTTAACCATGAGGTAGCAGTATGCCCTTGAGGCCAAAAAGGCCAGTGAGATACTGGCCTGCTTTAGGAGTGTCACCTGCTGGTGGAGGGAGGGGATCCTACCCCTCTAGTCAGCTCTGGTGAGGTCRCACCTTGAATACTGGATGCAGTTCTGGACTCCCTAGTACAAGAGGAGTGTGGAGCTTCTAGAAAACATTCAGCATAGAGCGACAAAGATTATTAAAGGACTGAATCATCCATCTTATGAGGAAAGATTAAGCAAGATGGGCCTGTTTAGCCTAGAGAAGACTGGGAGGGGATCTTATCAATATGTACAAATATCTGAGGTGAGGGTATAAAGAGGATGGGGTCAAGCTCTTCTTGGTGGTGGCCAGCAACAGAACAAGGGGTAGTGGGTACAAATTGAAATACAGGAAGTTCCGTCTCTCGTATGAGGAAGAACTTCTTYCCTSTGAGGTTGACAGAGCCCTGGAACAGGCTGCCTAGGGGGGCTGTGGAGTCTCCTTCTCTGGAGATCTTCCAAACCTGCTTGGATGCCACCCTGTGCCCCGTGCTCTGGGTGTCCCTGCTAGAGCAGGGGGGTTGGACTGGATGATCTCTAGAGGTCCCTTCCAGTCTCAACCATTCTGCATTTCTGTGATTTCTCGTTTCATGGGTTGAGACTTAGCATGCTGCTCTCAAAACAACTAAAAAAAYCACAGCATTTAAAATTTTAAAATATCATGAATAAGCTTAAGAGCATAAACTGAAAATAAACTCAATAAAATCTCAAACTGCAGAGCACAAAAGGATTCACTGATGAATATTTTTATGAGATCCCGTGATTTCAGAGCCTGTCTTATTTTTGAATTCTTGGGTAAGGTATCTCTGTGATTACACAACTTTGAGGCACACAGCAGAAAACAGAGTTATTCTCATGAACAGAAAAATGTTGTAGGCTACCATGTCAGCACTGCCATGTATATTTAGGGCAAGTAACCTAGAGCAGTTGGTATACAATTGGTTCAAAATTTTCCATCTAATGAAACATTTCTTTTTGTTTTCTACATGAAAGGCTCGAGTTGAGAAATGACATACGTGAAGCAATTTGATACTGAATATGTCATCCGACTAGTCTGATTTTCCATGTTCCTGCTGAGTAAGCCAGAGTACTGAATTGCAGTTTTTGCAGGGTGCAGGTGGTGCAGTTTTTGCAGGGTGCAGATGGTGACCCATCCTACCTTCAGGCACGATGGAGTGATGGAGTGGGGATCTGGTTGTGGAGGTAGGAATAAAAGCTCCTGGTCCCTTCCAAAATCACAGAATCATGGAATCATTATGGTTGGAAAAGACCTTTGAGATCATCAAGTCCAACCATAAGGTCTTCAATACCATGCCTGTTAAAAGCAAGTCCGTAAGTGGCTCATCTACTTGTTTCTGGAACACTGGCAAGGATAGTGACTCCACCACTTCCCTGGACAGCCAGCCTGTTCCAATGTTTCACCACTTTTTATGTTTAGGAGTTTTTCCCAATATGTAACCTGAACCTCCCCTGACACAACTTGATGCCATTTCTTCTTTTCCTGTTGGTAGTTATTTTGGAGTCAGATAAAATTTATAGCATTGTTATTTTTTTTCTATATTTTTTTACTCATTGCAGAACTGTTTTATCAGATGTAAGCCCTGCAGGGCTTTGACTAGAAAAATACAGACCTAAAATGGATTTTATCAATAGGTAAGTGAAATTATGAGCCCACAGTATAAAGCAACAGTCTAAAAGTAAGGAAGTCTCTAGAAAGTAAAAGACTTCATACTTTCTGCTGCAAGAAAAAGAAGAACTAGGACCACTTTAAGTCATGATAACTCTAATGGTTTCTTGGCAGTGATTGCTTGCATTTTTCAGTGATATCAGCAGGAGCTGCACATGCTTAGCATCTTTGAAGATTGTATCTTTAASGATACCATATCAAAAATATTTCTGCAAGCCTATATACTTGGTTCTTTGCTAGGTTTTTGAGTTTTACTCTCCTTTTAAATTGCCATAAATAAAAAAATGGCCTGGGGTTCTTCAGCTAGAGTTCAAATAAAGAATAATGTTTGATATGAAGTAGAACAAAATTCAGCTAGCTTTCCCAGAGTGGCTTTGCTATGCACTATGAAAAGAATTAGCAAGCACTGCTAATTAGGCAAGGGGAATTACACTAAAAAATGTCACTTTTAAATAGCCTCATCTGAAACACTTCTAGCAAAAAAAGCACAGTATCAGGTAAAAGGGACCCAAAAGTTATAAAAGGTTACAGATCCAAATCTTACAAATCATTAATTACAGAGTCTTTTGAAAAATTTTGCATGACACATTTGACTTTTTTTTGATAAAATTGCTGCAAAAAATATTTTACTTTAGCAAAAGAACATAAAGGCAATTTGATAAAATGGCCTCCAATTACATATGGTTTTGCATAAATAAGCAATTAAATCTAACCTTTCAAAATGTCTAGTTTAAGCTGTGTGAAAGC